AAATAAATTCTGAAAGAAACCGCAACCTGTTTCCTGAATCTATTAAATTACAGCTTGAGAAGGTCTTTTTAAAGCATGACGTCTAAACAAGTCTTTTCTTTTAGCTCACTGCCACTGCAAGACAGAGCTTCTGTGCTTCAGCTTGGGTGTAGGTCTGTGGGCTGTTTCCTTTTGGGTATGAAGTGGTTCCTTCATACATTTACTGTTGAAAATCCCATGTATGTGAAGAAAAATGTACAAGTGTACATGGAGAGGAGAGGCAGATACAGCTATGTGCTGGCATTCCCAGCCTGTTTCAGAAGAACAAAGCCAGCTGTGGGTTTAGTACCCCTCAGACAGCCACTATATCCCACGCACAGTATACAAAAGTCTTGGATTACCTTAGAAAATAAAGAAATGCTGTTGATTTTAAGAGAACTGGTCCATGTTTCACTTATTTCTGAATCTTAAGTTTAGCAACCTGTCCACCTTTGAGAAACAGCCCATAGACAATACTCCTTGAAATTCTGAGCTCTGAGTATGCTATTTCATCCTCCCAATTTCACTGGTGGCAAATTTGGAGCCCAGCAATGCTTCTGCATAGAAGGAAGGGGCAGCTGATCTAAAGAGGGCCCTTCCTGCTGGTGAGCCATCTTCCATCAGTGTACTAACAATCCAATTAGCACTGATAAAGTAACTGAAATAATAATAACAGAACCTGTGGAGGTTGGAATTTTTTTGCTGTCTGGACTGGGACATACTGTGAGTACCTTTCTTCTCAGTTCCTCATAGCCCTTGAGGTACTGCTGCTCTGAACATTTCCCCTGTACTCCTGGGATGACTCAGTCCCTGCAGCCTGAGCTAGGCATCTGGGAAGAAGCAGAAGGAAATACAGTTAAACACCAATTAGGAATTTACTGACTGCAGAGATGAACTGAATCTAAAGAGAGTAGAATAAAACTGGTACTGGACTAGCCTGATGCATGAAAATGGCTTCCCACTGGCATTCCAGGCATCCCCAGATTTCTTTCATCATACATTTCTGTACAGCAGCTGCACAACTCTGACCAGACAAGCCCCTAAAAATAATGGGTAGAAACAGGGAAACTCACTGACTAGCATCCCCTGAAAAGATGATGAGGCAGCTTGGAGTGAAGAGCCTGGGGTCTACTTTGAGCTTCCAGAAAGTGGACCCTTCTGGAGTGTGAGTTCAATCTGGAGGGGTTTTTGTGAATCAGAGACCTCCAAGTTTAGGGGGCGTTCACAATTTTGTTGCTGTATCATCATGATATCTTCAGGGAGCAGTTCTCCAATTCTTACTATTTTAAGGCCCTGTGGTCTTCAGACTGTCTTCCATCACCTGAAATCCCCAATACATGCAATGTAAGCTGACAGCTCTTGATGAACCATCATTACATCTTGGCTGGATACCCAGCCTAGTGACTCATGAATCTGCCAAATCTTTTTATTACGAACAATCTCTCAAACTTCAGTGGGAATAATGAAGAAGACAGAGCTAAAATCCCTTCTTGGAAATTAGTAAATACCTCAAGCTCCACATCAGCCTTAAGCAATTCTTGTGAAATACAGGAACCATTTGGAAGTGCAGATTAAAAGAAAAACTTTCAAGTTCCTTCTTATTTTCTCTGAGGATAGGGGAAGTTGAAGTGGGCTCTCTCCTGATGCATAGTAGCTGTCCCACAGACATGCAGAGCTGCCTCTCCAAATTAGATGCATGTTGAATCACTTCTCCAAGACCACCACAATGATGCAATTTCCACTCTTCACCTGAAGCCCAGGAACAAAATGCCTGAGATTGAGCATCATATCTAGCCTGATGAGAAAAAAACTGAGATTTGAACAAGTCCCAGTAAAGTCATGTACCCTAGCCCTGCTCACTTTCAAATGGTAGCTCAGCACCAAACTTCCTTATGTTCTTAGGAAATTTCCACACTGAATCCCTATTTCTACTGCTGCCATCTTTCATGGCAGCAAATGTGGTAGACAGGTGAGAAATGGACTATCCCACATAGCAGGAAAGCCTGGTTAATACTGATTTGCTGGGACATGTGATGCAACAGGATCTGCACAGCTCCATGTGAAGCCTTCTTTGAGCAGATCTTGTAGTAAACTGGAGGGTTTCGATCTTATGGAACGTGAGCGACAGTCACTGAGGTCTCTGTTCCACACCTCCCAATGCTTGAACAGAAGAAATGCAGTGCAGTCACTGGGAGGGCTCTTGACGTTTCATGCTGGACAATGAGCAACAGTAATACCATGATGCCCTAATTAGAAAGGATGAAATATGCTTATTTTCTGCTATCACAGTGGTTCAGGCAGACTGGGTCTAGGAGTTTGGCCCCATGACGCATAAAATGCCAATACTCAGTTCCAGTTGGGTTGGTCCCAGAGGCAGAATTAGTGCTTCTGTCTGGCACTGCATCTGATCAAATGGACACTGGTGGATGGTACTGGCTTGTAGAAGTCATTCATAAATCAGACAATCCACCTGTGAGTAAAGAGGAATTGACTACAGCTCTGTAGTCTGTTGGCTTTCAAAGACCTAATTTGTCTGTGCAGGGCACTGTACTGAAGGGCTGACTCTTCACTGGACTACAGCTATTCTCTCTAATGGAAGCATTACCTTTATCCACCACTTTGCTCTTGTGGTTTCAGGGCCTAAGACCCAAAAAACAGGGTTCCTGTAGGATAAAGGGAGCATGTTTTAACTTTTCAGCCAGTACTGAAGCTTATCAGACTGTAAATGTTATGAATTAGCATAATTTCAGCAGCATAGTCCATGCAGTAAACTATATGGATATATTTCAGTTCAGAGCACACAGTGTTTCATATTCCAGACCTGAATTGTGCTAGTGGTCACCTCAGAGACTTGGTCTGGTTTCTGCTCCCACTGCTCTGGCATTGTTCACCATTCAGCAATAGACAAAATGCCCCAAAATGTCACAGGAGTTTTGAATTTTACAAGGGACAACCAGGAAGGGAGAGAAAGCAAATATAAAAATGCCTCTACTTTTCTCACATGCAAAAAAGCAGACAACAAACATGAGTTTTAAAGCAACAAAGTTATTCCATGGGAAGGGGAACAGAGAAGGCAACAATTCATCTGTCAACATAGTATAAGAAAGTCACTTGTCACACAGATGTGTGTATCCACTTTCAGCAAAATCCTTGTTTGATTCACATAACTAGGAGTCACAACCACGGCAATTTGTGCTAACACAGTTGTTCTCACACAGATTTGTGCGTTTATTCCATCACCCAGGAGGATAAAACCACCATTCCCTATGTGTAGCCACAGAAAATGGAGAAACAACCAACCAGCCAACACAATCCAAACATAAACAGACCGAACCAAACACACACTGCACCAAAATGTGTATCTTGTGAAAACAGTCACAAATCATTTTTGCTCTCTCCTCATACAGTTCACATTCATGTCTCCTTTTCACAAATGAAAATAAAATACATTATCTGATTGATGTTTGAGATATACAAGGTACGTTATTGTTTAACAGTCCCACTATATATTTTTGGTAGCTCTCAATTTTTTTTAAAGTGTTATTCGGTTCAAATGTTTCTTTCGTACAGAAAACTAATATATTGGTGTGTATATGTACACATATATATACACATATGCATTCACAACTATGCATCTATCTATACATACACCTATATAATCTTTTGTGATTTTGCATGTTCATCATCTGTATTTGATGAGAAATATTTTAAAACTAGGAGCAGTCACTTTCACACAGTTAATACTGGAGATCTCTTCAACTGTACTAAGTAACATTAACTTACATTAATCTTATTTACATTAATGCTAAACTTGCTACATAATGTAAACTCCAATAACAGCACATAACTGAGCTGAAGAACACTATGTAGTGTAAAATTGTGAGGAATGATATAAACAACTTATTTTATACTACAATGAAGCAAAGAAACATTTTAATGGAAGGTGAACTTTGTAAATTAAAATAGGTCTGACCTAAACTAACTTGTTTCCCAACAAATGCTTTTTTCTTTGACCTGGTGTTTCTTAAGAGCATTTGCAAGTAACATATGACTGTGCTGTAGGAAAATTATATTAACTGTGTCACAGCATTACAGACATGGAAATATCCACATATAACATAGTAGGATTTAGCCAAGTAATTTCTTCTACAAAATCTTCTGTACAATCTATAATTCATTGCACAGAATTTATTTTTGTACTTTCTCATCTGGTTATGTTATGTTCAGATAATAGAATTTAAAGTAATACTTTGACTTTACATTAGTATTTCTATGGCTATAAAGCCATTTTTTTTTCTATAATATGATATCTCTATAGAGTTCTATAAGGCAGCTCTACTTTGCTTTGAAATACTGAATAAATTTGCTTTCTCAAAGAGCAGCTTATGCTTTGGTGTAGTTTTACACATTAAAAGACATAAATCTTCAATTCAGTCTCCCAGTCTTCCTATTGCCTAACTAAATCCCTCTCTCCAGTACCAATTATATTTAATAAAAGGTAACAAGAGCTGTCAAGCACTAAATTTTGCATTTTTAAAAACCAAAAATAGGGGGTAGCTCCTGAGCAGCAATTTATCATTAAATTCTGCATTTCATGCATGAGTGCAACTTCTTTTTATTTAAGAGCAACTATATTAAAATATGAAACTATTCAAACTTAATGTATTCCATCAAGTTTTTATTGACATTTCTTCCAACTAGTACCTGTCGGATCACAGAATAAAGTCATTAAAATGCTTCAAACATTTCTAGTGGACTGAATTCCTACAGCAACCTTTTCATGGAAGAATTTGCACATGTAAAGAGCAAGGTGACATTTTAAAATGACGACAATAGCAGCTTCTAACTTACTTAACCAGTAGGAAATTTATGTTAAGGAACATGGATATCCTTATATTAGATACAAATAGAGAATAACAATGTGAGGTATTCCAAATAAAGTTCCTCAGTTTCTTAAAAGCAATTAGACCCCAAGTAAGTACCTAAAACCGCCACGATCACCTGTCGAAGTTGGAAGGATGAGGAGAGCTGTAACCAAGAAAACGGACAACTGATGCTCGAGAGGTCTCGGCGAGAGAAGAGGAGCCGGGGGGGAGGAGAAGGGCTACCACCTTAGGGGTTGCCGAGGGGGGGCCACCGTCCCCCCCGCCCTGAGCCGCCTCCCCATCCCCTCCCGGCAGCCCAGGGACCGTACCCGACGCCCAAGGGGACTCTCCTCGGGGCCCCTCGCTGCCGCACTGAAGCGGGCGGTGACAAGGTCGGGGTTAAACACTAGTCACCAAGGGGGACCCCCGTACCCTCGCCTGCTCCCCGGCAACCCCCCAGGCACGGCGGGTCCCGGCGCTGCGGCAGCGCCCGGGCTGGCCGGGGACCCCCTCGGGCCGCCTCGCCGCCCCCGCCGCCCCCTCGGTGCGCACCGGCCGCCGGCACGGCCCGAAACGCCGCGGCCCCTCGCCGCCGCCCTTACCCGCTCCGGGAGGGCAGCGCGGCGCTCCGCGGCCGCGCAGTCCGGGCGGGAGGGACGGCGCGGCGCTGCCCGCTTCGCCGCGGGCTGCCCGCGTTCTGCCGGCGCTGGGGCGGCCGCTCCGCACCGCCCCGCCGGGCCCGCCCCCCGGGCCACGGCGGTCCCCTCTGCCCCGGCCCTGCCCACCTGGGGGTCCCGCTGCAGGCTCTCCGCGGCCGGGGGCTCTCCGGCTCCGGGGGCCCCGCCGTGCCCCCTGTCCAGCGCGCAGGGCGCAGCCCTCGCCCAGGACCCCGCTACGGCCGCGTCCCCGCGGAGCCCTCACCCCACCGCCGGGGCCGCCCGGCCCCCCAAGAGCTGCGCCGGCAGCCCCCCGCCCCGCCGCCGCCGCACCGCCCCAGCACGGCGGCATTCCCCCCCGCCCCCAAAACCCCGCGACGGTTCCCCGCCCAGAGCAGACCCCGGGAAACGCCTACCGCAGCGCCGGCCCCCCGGCCCCCCCGCCGGCACCGAGACGTCCCTCTCCCCCGGGACCCGCTGCCACCGCCGCCCGCGGGGACGCGGAGCCCGTCCCCAGGCAGAAGCCATCCCGGGAGCGGCTGCAGACCGCAGCGGGGGGTCTCAGAAGGTGGACGGGATCCCTTCTTATGACGGTACTTTAAAAAGAGGAATTTCTTTTAAAGTTGGGGGGAAAAAAAAAAGAAACAAACAAACTAAACAAAAACACCTCCAAAGCCTTCTTGCCAGTTGTCCTTTAGAGCGTCTGGCAACACTGCAACACTTTTGAATATAGGGCTATTCTGGGAGCTGCCGGTATTGCAAAGAATGGCTTAAAATGAAAATTACTGCTTCGTAGAAAGTACTCGCAGGGTAGAAGATTAGGAAGGTGTTTGAGGTATGAAACTATTTGTGGCACAGCTGGTATATAAAATAAAACGGTCAAACCTCTTGTCACAATCAAATATTCCCTAAATCTAGACTAGCAACATTGCTTTTGAAATATGTCGTTCCATATAAATGCCTTTAACGCCTGGTAGAAAATTCTTATGAACATGTTGACAAATGAAATAACCCGGGTTATTTGATTAGTGTCCATGTAATCTGAATATTGGCTGGTATTGGGAAAAGAAACGTCAACCCTTAATGCTTTTTAAAGGATGGGTTTTCGCTGCAATTAAAGACTAATCTTACACCAGTGAAGAGAGTGAATCACGCTCTGTGTGTCCTGTGCTACAGGGATTAAAGAGGACGAAGTCTAAGTTTGTGTTTTCTTTTTAAAATCAGCTCAGGCAGAACGAACAGCGTTATAGAGCGTAACGGGGGTTGGTAGCTGACCTGCCGCTGTGGTGACATCCGCATCCTACCACCCTCCCAGTGACGGGTTTATGTGCCGGTGCCACCTCTTTCCTTAGGAAACACTTTCTGATTTGGGGTGCAGATGCCAGCAAACCGAGATGAACAATTCCCACCGCAAGAGTTTATATTTTTGCAGCCTTTGTGCAGATAGCTACAGAAAGCATAGGGGAGGGATAAGTAGACGTTGCCTCATGCCTTATGGAGCTTGAATCGCTGTGAGTGCGCTGAGGGAACCTGTGTCCCAGGGTAAGATTGGCATCTTACAGTCAGCTCAGCTGATGGTTGGTTTGATTTTCCGTCGAGCAATACCCGAGAAAATGATCCCGGGTGCCCGGGCCACCGGCCGTCCAGGGGCTGCGACCCCGGCCCGGCCCGGCCCGCCCTGCCTCCCCGCTCCCCTCCCTTGCACAAAAGCACTTAACTCCCTCACACACCTCGCTCCGGTTTCGCACCTGTCGGGCTTGCCCGGTGTATGTGACAGCCACTGGAGGGTCTTAAGCAGATCGGAAAACCTGTTTGGTTGAGAATCGGAGGCGGTGGCGTCGGGAGGCGGCTCTTCAGCGGCAGCCCCGCCGTGCCCGGCCCTCCTCGCAGGGGCTGGGCGAGCAGGGAAGGGGCTCTGGCAAACCGAGAGCCTCACATTCACCCGGATTTTTTTCTGTTCGGCACCGAGCGCGGCAGTCGCTAGCCAGCGCTAGTCGCGGTGGTATCGCTGCTTTGGCGTACGTCCAACGAGCCTTAAATCATGTCGCCCTCGCCAGGAGCGCATATGCTTTGGAGAAGGCAGGTCAGGCAGCCTGCTCTCCTTGCAGAGTAAGATGACCAGAGTAGTGATCAGAGATGGGCAATGCACATTATCAGAAAACAGATATAGCCAAGTTTTATTTACTTCGTAGTGCTTTATTTTTGGAGACTCCCTTGAAGTCTGCCGCGTTAATTTATGAAACAATATGATCTTCAGAAAGCACCGAGGGAATCCGAAGCTATTAGCATTTTTATTTTGTTTTGAGAGGCCGCAGTGGCTGCAGGGGAGGACGGCCGCTTCGGGCAGGGGGTAGCGAGGGCGGCCGGGACGCGGGGCCGGGGCAGCGGCTCCCGGCGACCGTGCCGGCTGCGGACGCTAGTGGGCACCGTCGAGGCCGAAGCCCGGCGGAGTGGGAGGAAGGGGGATTCCTGCTGCCCAGCAGCCGCTTGCTCATTTTTTGTGCATGTCACCAGGGAGGATGTGGGTTTCTTGTATTTCTCCATGATCTAAGTAATCGCTGGGTCTCCACTGGCCAGCGCACAAAAAAACCTTTAAAGTGGTTAGCTTAAGCAGTGCGTTCAGCTTCTATCTGTGCATAGTTAAAACTGGGCGAGCAACTGAAAACTGCTGGACCCTCTAATCTTTCCTTGATAAGTCCTCGACCGCCGCCGCGGTTGGATGTGTCTGAACTCGGTCCAGCACAGAATCAGGGAGCTGAAAGCGAGATGCTTTCCCCGAAGTGCAAACTTTATTTCAGACTTGCGGGCGGCAACCTACACCGCACAAAACACGCGAAGGGCTGCTGGAGGGACCACCAGGCCCCACAGGGACGGGGCTGTGCTCGACAGGGGAAAGCCTGCCGCGTCCACGCATGTTCTCGTCGGGCACAGAGGGAGAGGGCCTGCCGGCTGCGTGGGGGCACCCCGCCGCCTCCCCGTGGAGCCACACGCCTATCGCGGAGCCGAGAGGGCGCAGGACAGAGCTGCCGTGTGCTGCGGGGAACACCCCACACGCTCCCACCCATACCCGCAGGGCAGCGGGCCGAGCCCCGCCCGGGTGGGCCGTGCGCCCCCTCGGGAACCGACTTTGTCAGGAGGAGGAGGTGTCACTTTTTGCTGTAGAAGCAGCTCCGGACCGGAGCGTTACCGCTCGACTTCCCGAGAGAGGGAGGGAGGGAGAGAGAGGGGGACGTCTAATCCTAGCTCTATCACGCAAAGTGACTCTGGTCACATCCCTCCCCCTAGCTCTTTTCTTTAATTAGGGGCTGCAAAGGGTGCGAGGGAGAGGGAAGCGCCTGGAAGCCACTAATTATTCAAACTTTGGAGACAGCATCCAGATGAGCTGGGTCAGCTCTTTAGGGCAGTGCTTTGTCACCTGTGTGTATCAGATGGAAGTGATTACGCTACTGTGCAAAGTCTCCATTAAGAGATTTCGTTTCATCATTACTTATTGCCTGCAGGATGTGTGCAGGCTCCAGCGTGAGTAAACGAAGTTTTGCTACGGAAGAGAAACAATTTGCTCTGGCATGAGAGGGTCGTGAAAACCTGCCCATACTCCTGCCCTCAGGCAATAAGCTTTTTAATTGCACTCATCTCCTGCAACTAAATTTTTCACAAGTGCCCTCTCGCGCCCCCGCTCCCTTCTCCCCCCCTCCCGGCTTGTCACAGGTTTTTGCAATGACGCCCACCTCCCGCAGCAACAGCTTTCCGCCCCGGCGGCTGGCCCCTCGCAGCCCCAGTCACCCCAGGACCCCCCGCCGCTCCCCGAGTCTGCGGGCGAGGCAGAGCAGGACGCGCAGCGGTGCCGTGCCGGGCTGCCCCTGCCCTGCCCCGCCCCGACGGCCGCCGGCGCGGAGCGGCGCGCACGGCTGCGCTCCCCTCCGCGCTCCCCTCCGCGCTCCCCTCCGCGCTGCGGCTGCCGAGCGCCCCGCGGGCAGCCCGAGAGGGAAAGAGTGGCGGACGCCCGCCCTGTGCCCGCGGGGGGTGGCGGAGGGGCTGGAGCGCCGCGGCCCCTAACCTCGGTCCCCCGCTCGCAGCAGCCTTTCCCACCTCGTTATCCCGGAACAGGAAAGTCCCGGTTCAGCTTTCCCCCATAAGATCCTGTCTCCCTCCCCCGCTCCCCTCCCTCTGCCCCTTCCTGCCGCCGGCCCTGGCGAGAGGAGCCGCTGCTCTCTGCGCGGGACGGGGCTGAGCCGCTCTGGGCAGCCGCCGGGGCATGGGGACGGGGCTTCGGGGTCCATCCGGCCGGACTCAGCCCCCAGCCCTGAGCCAGCGGTCTGGTGCCCGACGGGCAGGGCTGCCTTGAACCCTCAGGCTGGAGCTGAGATCCTGAAGTTAGTGATTTTTTTTTTTTTTTTTTTTTTTTTTTTCACCTCTGCCCTCGGTGCTTCCGAGGAGCCTGTAAGGTCTGCAACGAGAGAGAGACTGAGGGAGGAGGAAGAGTTAAGAAAGGGAAAAGATGGCGAGTGGCAGGAGCAGAGTGGAAAAAGCAGCGTTTTTGTGCTGCTTCTTGCTGGCATTTGGGAGCCTAACCTCCTGCGCCCGCCTAGAGGAGGAGGAAGAGCAAGAAGAGCAGCGCTCTTGTCACGGTGCCTTTGATCTCTACTTCGTCCTGGATAAGTAAGTGACAGTCGCATTTAAAAATGTTTATTCACCCTTCAGTGCCTCCTTGCAGCAGCAGGGATGTTGTTTCCCCGGTTTCCCCGGGTGCCTTCCCCCCCCCTTCCCTGCTGTGAAACATGATATGTGGGGCAGGGTCCTTATTTTTGCTCCCCAAAACCCCGCATGTTTCCCAAGCAGAGCATTTAGGGGAACACCGTGCTTTTTCCTGGGTTGGTTGCCCATGCACACATGGTTGCCTTCAGGTTGTAGCGTGTGGTGCATGGGCTGGGAGCTCTGGATTTGAGAGGGTGTTGCTAAGTGCCCCCTGCACTCCTGGAGTTTGGTGTCAAAACTTGGTCTAAACCCTGAGATGTCACCTGTGGGATTTAACAGCGCCAGGGTTGTGCAGACCTACCTAAAGTTAAGACTAGACTGCTTGTTTGTAGTGGGCTTTTTTTACAGATTTACTGTAATGTTTTATAAAACTTGTTTCTGCTCACCATCTTTGGAATTGTCTAAACCTGTGTTTGAGTTACATCTATTGAAACAGGTTGGCAAAGATTTTGCTTAATGCTATGTCAGTCCAATTTAGGAACAGCCAGAGGATATGCTTA